GGACAGAAACTGTTTGCAAAAAAAGGGAAAGGGCCATAAAAAGGGAGGAAGGGACGAAAATTGTTCAAAATAAGTTGGTATGGAGAAAAAGGGAGTAGAACGTGCCCAAAACGATTGGATCCATAAGAATCAGATACGACGAGCAGGATATTTCACAAATTCTTCGTTTTTAAGTGTTTTCAAGCGAACTACAACTGTTTTCTTTGAGCCCAAAGTGGAAGTCCATTTACTCTTTGGTTATTTTAGAACCTAGATTAAACCTAAAGTCTAGGTTTTTTCATACATATGGCATGAGTCTGTTACATAGGTATGTAACAACATAAAATATTTTATCGAAAAACCAAACTCTTGGAAAAATCAGCTCTTGAAGTTCCTGACACACCATGTGTGTCAGGCGGTCCGGAAAGGGTTAAGATGATAGACACCCCACCCCCCTCAGGAAAACTGGCCTTCCCTAGGCCTGGCTATCCTGCTCTGAAAGGAGCTATGAAGGCTCTTTCCGCGCCGTCTAGCATATTGTTTCTAATGAAGTGCCTCCCCGTTGCGGCACATCTCACGACCCCCCATCTTTACTTTTGATGAGGTCCTTTTGGACGACCTAGAAACAAGAATCGAATAGAGAGAGGCGGTTCTATCTCCAAAAGAGATTCGCAATAACCAAGCATTCGTGTGATCACTATAAATGCAGCCAAAACCAACAGCTTGCAATCAAAAGCAAGTCAAAAGAAGGATGTCAATAGTCTTTCTAGTTATAATGTAGGAAAGAAAAAATGAACAAACCTATCAAGGAGTCGAACCAGCGACCTCTTAGTTGTGAGCTCAAGCCATAAATAAAGCAGCTCTGAGCTCACAGCAACGTCTCAAGGATGTAAAGGTGTTCAACTGATTTCAAATAGCAGAACCGACCTGTTGATCTTCTCTAGTAAGATAAAAGGGAGCCTAAAAAGCTAAGTTATATTTCTAGACATGGAAAGATTATAAACTCGTCTGGGATATCAGCGAGTACGGGAACATAACGGACGTTCGATTTCCGGCTGGTCGAATATGGAAGCCGGACGTGCTGCTCTACAACAGGTTCTCAATTTATTCTGAGTTTGTAGACACATTTTACATAGAGCACATGAGTAGAGTCATTTTAGCTACTCTGCGTGGAAGAGCGTTCTGTTATGAAGCTACAGGTAGGAAGTGGTCTTGGGAAGATAAGGAAAGCAAGAGAAACCCCGATTACGCCCCGATAAGGACCTCCTCTATTTCAGCCATTCCACCTTGGGATAGAGAAGGGCGTGTTGGACGAGTTTCACGAGCCTGCTCCAGTTGCTCCAGTGCCAATGACATTGAACCGCAATGCAACCGCTGCCGCAACTGCGCCCGCGCTTTTCAAGCAGCGCCACGTGGCAACCGACAGCGGAAGGGGGGTTTGCGGACGAAGGTGTGATTGCGGGTCGAGCGAGCTTCTAGCGCCTTTGTCGCGCACTTTCAAGCCGCAAAAGGGGCGCGACATCAACGCTTGTCCGCCTGTCTACTACGCTCGGGTATGAAATAGTGAGCGGTGCCTAATCCCAGAGCGTGCTTTCAAGGACGAGGTGGATAAAATAATTCGCCTTATTAACAACTTGATGAGAACCAGATGAAGCTTTAGGAATATTATGCCAAAGGTCATCCAGTCGTGCTCGATATGGTGAGCCTCATATATCGTGCAGCCGCTCAACGCCCTTAACTTAGCCGCACTTGGCGTGAAGAAGGAACACGAAATGCACCCAAGAGCATTGTCGAATTGTTTCATGATTGTTTTATAGTCCACGCGATATGGTGTGGGGAGGCATGAAGATGCCAGGGTATAATTTCCAGACTCGTGAACGCTGTTACTTTCCGGTCATTATTGTAATGGTTAACTACTTCCCAATGTGCGTTTTTTCAGACGTTTATTCGACCTCAGCTTCATTTGTATGGAGAAAAATGTTTAAGCGCATCAGGAAGCCAAGGTGGAAAACTCTTAGAACGAAAGAATATTAAGCGTGAAAGCCTGCTTGCTTTCTCCTCTCGAACCCTGTCGTAAACGTGTGGGATTTATATGGGAAAGCTGTTCCAGCACGAGCAAATGCGCTAATAACTGTCGACCGCGGCGTTCGTGTACTGGAGCGCTATTCTACACGGACTGTTACCAAGCTTGTGACCGTATGGGATCGCGTAGCAAAGCATACTCAGTAGGATGTAGTGCTCACACATCATATTAAGAACCATGTCCTCTCTCTTAAAGTTCACCATGAATTTGGGTAGTTGCATCCAGTGACCGCTGCTATCACTGCCTTTGAACAAAAGCCTCATTTCTGTTTTTCCCAATTGCGTGTTTCTGTCAGTATCCCTTCGTGAAGTACTACAGCTGTGCCTTTGATGTATGCTCCAAATTTACCGAGCTAGCTTAATTAGCAGTAAGATATCATGCGAAAGTTAATTTCCTTATAGTTCTCCGCCGCCATGTGTAGTTAGACACAGGGCAGATGCAACAATGAGGAGGAGGCAGCGGTCGAGGCAAATCCACCCATGCAAATCTCGTGGGATGTGTTTTTCAATCGTTTGTATTTTTTGAGCGAAGTATTCTTGGGAAAAAAATTAATTGACCTCTGATTTGTAACATTTTTGATGAGGTTTTGAGTGAGCAAGGTTCTCCCAAACTCTGATAATGAGAACATTCCTTCATACTACTGCGTGCTTCAGTCTTTGAAGTTGTTTGATCGGCTTCAATTTTAGTGTCGACACGAATTTTGACTCAACATATCCAACAAATATGGTGGTGTACAATACTGGTGAAGTACATTGGATCCCGCCGGGTATCTTCAAGATCTCATGTAAAATTGACATCGAGTGGTTTCCTTTTGATGAACAACGCTGCAAATTCAAGGTTGGTGATGGTCTAAACATAACACTACATATACGTTATCGAAACAAATCGAGACTGTGGTCAAGAGAAATCTTCAACTCTTAATGTTTCTGGTAAATCCCTGAAATTTGAAATGAAATTGTTCTAAACTTCTCGAACAAGCTTTTTCCCACCTAGCGCCTTCTTCAAGCCCAAACCCGAGCCGTTCTTCCCACTGGGTACCGCTGCGCTTCTTAAAGGGAATCTTCCACGGAAAAAGCTCCGCCTCCATTACCACAGAAAAACGATACCTTAGGCCCCTAGCCTCATGAGCATAGCAAAAAGAACGGAACATAAGCGTTAGTTTCGATAATACTAATCCTACACACAAGACAAAATGATCACTCTTTCCGTGGAAGATTCCTTTAAGGTATCGTTTTCTGTGGTAATGAGGGCGGAGCTTTTCCGTGGAAGATTCCTTTAAGTTGGTCGGCGCTTGTTTGAACTCGATTCCGCGCGTCGCGCCACGAAGATACATATTTCATATACATCAATGGACAATTCATCCGTATGAAAAAGCTTCATTTCTACTCTACATACAAACATTTTATTTCTTTTAAAAGTAGGTTGCTGACCTAGCAAATGTAGGCGAGTATTACAGAGAGCGTGCAATGTACCATAGCGAAATGTCGGCGGCCGCCGGATAGAAAATATATGACAGGGTGCAGCAAGTGTTTTGACCGCTTGGAAACCCACCTGCACTTGTCCAAGGAGAAGAAAACTATCCTGAAACAGATAAATGAAAATGATAAATGAAACAGATAGACACATCTATGCCTAGGAGTGAAGGTGGAGGAGCCCGGAGGTGGATAAAGAAGTGTCAGAAATTGGCCAGGATGTAGGTAGGATGTGTGGAATGTAGGACTCGCAGTTCACTAAACTGGATCACCCGTTACCTTATATTTACTGGTATTAGAGAGTTAAAAAGCGGTGCTTTCTGGCACCGCATAACAGTTGAAGGTAACAAGGAGTGTTCCTTCCCGAGCTCCGTTTTCACCCTGGCTTCAGGGGTTATGTGATACGGTTCAAAAAACTTCGGTTAGGTCAGGTCAAAGCTTGCCTGAGCGGCTCAATTTTTCTTTGATACACTTATGAAAAGTTCTTGAGCCTCCTGACTTTTAGGAGATTAATCAGTTTGGCACACATTCAACCAATATGAGTTAATCCTATTAATATCATTGGCTTCGGTCAGTGGGATACTTTCCTAACTTATACGCTTTCCAACTAATCATAAGTTAATTTCAGTTCGGTTCATGGACTTACGATGGATTCAAACTTGATTTGCAGCCAGCTAAAAAAGGATTTGATATTTCTGAATACTTGCCGAATGGGGAGTGGGCATTACCTTGTACGTTACATTTCAGCCATTGAGAAATCTTACAAATTAATTCGAAGAGCGTACTTTAAGTGACAACGGTCTCGCGAAACGTGAAGTTCTACGACTGTTGTCCTGAACCGTACCCAGACCTGACATTCTACTTGCACATGCGGAGACGGACACTCTACTACGGTAAAGAAGTAACCTCGAATAAAGTTCCCAGATATTCACTTCTACTTCTATTTTTAGGCTTCAACCTCATCATGCCATGTATACTTACAACTCTGATGACTTTACTCGGGTTCACATTACCGCCTGATGCTGGAGAGAAAATCACTTTGCGTGAGGCTTTCTTTGTAGCAGTTTCCAGGATTGAAGGCATCCGAATTATTGGCATCTTTCACCCTTTTGCCCCAGTCTCCGAAGGTCGAGCAGGGTTTTGTTTAAAATCTGTCTTAGAGGATAAATTTGGTTGAATACAGGGTGGTCCAAAATTATGAGGACCAAGACATTGTGTCGTTAAAAACGCATAGTAGCTTGATGGAACAAACCAACTTCTGGGAAGTATTTGTAACTCTTACCTCAAAGTAATTCCAGAATAGAATTGAGATCTGCCACTTCCCCCGTTAACACGAGCCTTCGGATGGGGGATGGCGCGTGCGGTGGCACGCAACTAAGGCGTGTCCAAATGTTTCCAGGCCTTCTGCTCTGCCTTCTTCAGGGAATCAAACTTTTGTGTTGCATTTATTTGCGCTTGCATCCAGGGTGTGAAATACAGAAATCTAGAGCTATTAGGTGGATGGTTCCATTGTAACAATTCTTCGAAAGCAACGAACTCGAAAAATCGCTTTTTGGAGGATTTTTGCTTTATTCTTGGGTGCTCGGTCCTGTAAGAAGTTCTAAGTAGACTACTCGTGTGGCTTTCTATCCACTACAGATGTGGAGTCTTTAGAGTGTCTGGCTGGGTTTTCACATCAATTTTTTCATTTTGGGTGTACGAAAGTCGACAAGGGGAGACCTAGTTTCTGCATCTGATAATTATCCTGGTGGTAACTGTAACTTTCGAGTCCCCGAATTTTCCATCTGTGGTGATTCCAAACTTATTGAAGAGTTGAACTGTTGCTCATAAGGGCTTCTCTGATAGGTTAGACTGCTGCTAGATGTAACGTGCCAGAGCCCCTAGTGAGTTCAATTTGAGGACTGACTCAAAGTGAAGTAGTTATTTCACTAGTTTTGAGAACTTCATGAAATTTGGTTTCATTAGGAAGAAGACATTGTACCCTTTCACATAGTGCACAGAAAACGAGATGAAAATGGAGCGATACGGAAAAAAGTGGATATGACTGCGCGCGCACGCGGTCCTCATAATTTTGGACCACCCTGTATCTTTGCTCCGCCTGCGTAGGGCACAAAATATTTATTTTATTTATTTTTATTTATTTATTTATTTATTCATGCGTGCAGTTGACGCGCCTATAAACAAACAAACAATAGAAAACATTGTGGTTAGTCAATGAGGACGGTAGCCCTATTATCTTCACGAAACTATTAAAAACTACGATATAAAAGGACTACTGCAAACCTATTCCCTTTCCTGCATTCAAAGAGATAGCAGCACGAGGGAAAATTAGCACTGCTGACCCTCTAGCGAGGAACTAAGGAAGACCTCTCAAACTTGGGTGACTTTGAGTGTAATCCAGGTACCTTACCTGCACCAGTCGGCAATGGTGCCCATAGCACTACTATAGGTGCAATGGGAAGCCTGCCTGAACTTCGGGACACGAGTATACCGACACCCTCGTGGAACAGGCAGGTCAGGTAAGGACCAGATGCCACTCGTGGATTTCAGCAGAGAGAAATACCGCATCCGTTTTGCGCGACAGTACCCGAAGTCTCGTCGCTGGTGGCAAAATGCGTTGCGTCAGCAAACCTGCTGGTATTTTACTAACTAAAGTGAAACGATACGAGAAGTATAATTATAAAACTTGTTTCCGCAAGAAATCGCCATTTCATATATTCATAGGCAATAGGATCAGTAGTGGAAGATTATTGGAAAGTATGGCGTTTTTTCCTGCCAGAATCGACTAAACAAGTTTGTCACACTCTCTTTCTTCGTTTCTTTTGTACACGCCTCTTCCTTCGCTTTTTTGCTTTTTTTCACTATCACATCTGGAGTTAACGGAGCTTTCAAAACGTTGGATCACCTCAAAGCCGAAATTGAAAGGAGAAGCGAAGCCAGTTCAACTCGCCAGATACTAGAACTCTTTACGAAATCCCGAAGAAATCAATATTCTCTGCGAATGCCAATTTTGGTTGCATGAATTCGGATCCTCCGAAAATAAATCATTCGAGCTTCGTGTTAGCGGAAAGATGTTGATCCAATAGACACGTCGTCTTAAGGCATCGCTTCCATGGACGCATCTTTCATCTTTCATATTTTGGAACTGGAGCCGTTGCAAAGTCGACGAAATCCATGAAAGAATGGAAGTTAAAGGAATCTTGCGCGGAAAATTCTTGCACTCTTTCCTAACATGAATATGTCAGTTGTGATCACTGGAAATAGCACACAAAGTTTCACGCATGAAGATTCGGTTTCTGAAGAGAAACAAACGTACAAAAACTACACGTTATGGACCATCGAAGGACCAGGAGGCAGAGCCAGGCGAGGCATGGAAAGAAGACGGCGTTTGGCCGGCTACGTACCAGGCGACGCAATGAGAGAATCGGGTTAAAGCGCGCGATTTCGGAGAGTGGAGACAAATCGATCGATGGAATAGGATGGAGTAGAAGTGTAAGATGTGAATGCAACGAAGCAGAAGGCCAGAAAGAGCTTCTAGTGAATGCACTCCAAGAACCAAGTTTGAGCATCCCCGTCGCCAGCATTCGTGAAAGACGTCCGTGGGCAATTCGAACGCGTAGCAGCCTTTTCGAGTTTTCGAATTTCTAATCAAAACGAAAGCAATACTTCAGTTCTTTTCACTATTATCGTGGATAATTCCGTCGCAAGATTCCTTTAAGTGAATGTCACGATTTGGTCAGACGTGATGCTGTTACCCCCACAAACATTCAAAATAATCCGACCCAATACAATAAAATTATCTCTGATTCATTTAGAACATATTCGCGACTGTCGAGATTGTCTGTTTAATATTAACATCTTACGTCATTCTCTGGACTAGCATGTACTAAACCAAAGGACCTCCTCAGGATCAAAGAAATGCGAATCCGTTTTTTTTAGGATAGAATAAAAATAATACACGTGCTCTACAAATCGAATACCTTGTAGGGTAAGTTTTTATCTATGCCTGTGAAATTGACGATCTATCGATGGATGTGATATCCCTACCCTATGCGCCAAACTGCTCGCGGGAGTTCCAAGCCAAGTTCATCCTAAAAGACAATTCCATAACAATCTAGCTCACTCTTTCAATGTGTGACGGGACAAAGGGCGTATAGTGCGCAAAAGTAACAAAGTTCTTTGTTATTTTCAGAGATCACCGTTTTGCTTTCCATTTGTTTCTTCTTTGAGCATTGTTTCCGATATGTCGCCACCAACATCGGAAGCTGTTCCACTTCTTGGTAAGTCATGCAGAACAATCACAATCACAGTCAATAGGATTCTGGTAGAGTGAAATGAGCAAGATGACTACGCCCAAGATAGGATGTTAGCAGCGTTAAGATGCAGTGTTAGCAATGGAAGATCTTCATTCTTCGCATCATGGCAGAGATTCTTTGCCCATGACATTAAAGTACGCAGCAAAAACCTCTGGGGCGTAGGTATGCGCGATCCCATTCAAAGTGGAATTCCTCCAAGGCATAGCTGAAGAATTGTTGACGGAACGCAAGAGGAGCTTTGCCTTAGGGACCGACGCTCACCGGCACTAGAAGGGTCAGTGTTGAAGAACATTCGTCACAGCTCGACAGCGACACCTTCAAGTCGAAAGCGAAGCGAAATAAAGCTTGTTTCTCTTCTGAGATCGTCCGACCCCACTGCGGAGAACATTCATAGAGAATGGGTCTCGGATTGGCAATTTTTTTTCAAACTGCCGTAAACTTACGGAATAGTGTAAAGAAGGAAGCGGCTAGCTCCCCAGATAATGTTAAACATAAACCATGTCCTGTAGATAACGGTGGTGCGTGTTTGAATGAGCAAGCTTCTGAGAGAACTAATAAAAATTTAAAGTTGAAAATTGGTCAAAGTGATTCACAAATTGAGGGGCAACCTGGTATAATGAGTGCGTGCACAAAGGTGGAGAACGCTAGAATCGAAATTTTCCTGCTGCACTAAATATCGTGGAATGCGGCATCATAATGCATAATATTAATATATGCGTATAATATAAAAGGAAAGGATAAAGCATTTGCCGTCGATCAATGCCTTTTTGGGATGTGGCTCGCATTCCGGTCAACTTGTTAATTCCCAGTGGCGTATTGAATGCGATTTGGTCTACACAGGGGAGGCCGAAAAGGACACACTTCGCCTATAGCGCTCACCATAAAACTTTTTGTCGCACAGTGTGCCACTGTTGATGAAAGTTTTACGACAGATTATCTTTCAGATATCCTGCCATAAAGCGAGAGATTATGATATGGGTTCATGGTGAAAGTGGGGATGCTGAATAATGCCCCAGTGGCGAAAAAGCAAAGAAATCCGTCAAGAAGGCGCAAAATGGGACCCCTTTCTTTGCCCGTTGACCTCCGATAATGGACGAGCTAGCAACCAATTAGAGGTCTTTTGCACATGTTAACCGATAGCCACCATCATACCAGCAAAGGCCATGCTTTGATTGGTAACGCGTTCCATGGGAAAGTTATAGGATACGCACTCACAAGCGGAATACCTCATCAAAATGATAATCGAAGGACGCTGCTGCTGGGGGCGGAGCACAGGCCGTGGCGGAGCTCAGAAAGGAATGGCAAGCCCAGTACGCTGCAGCTAGCGCACCTTTGGCCACAAAAACGCAACATTTCGCTTCCTTCGGCCCCTGACTACTGCTTCCACTGGTGCATGT